ATTATTATTTTTTTTTTTTTTTAATAATCAACATTAATAATGAACAATTATAGTAATGAATTTCTAACGGATGATGATCAAATCATGGAATCCGAAACCAATTCTCAAAGTACGGAGGATACCGTACATGAGATTTTAAAGGAAGGTTCCACTTTTAGGAATTGGGATGAGGCATCTGATGCCGTATATAATCACGCCAAAATCTTGGGATTCAATTTATGTAAATCTAGAAAAAAGGAATGTGGTGGGGAGTTACGTAAAAGGACATTCATTTGTGAACGTTCAGGGAAACCTCAAAAAAATAAGGAGGATAAAAAACCCGATTCAAAAAAGATTTTATGTCCCTGGCATGTAAATTTATCTTTACCAGAAAAAAATAATGTGGAAAAATTAATCATCGTTACAAAGTTTGTGGATCATCATAATCATGAATTGCACCCTAAGGATTTCACGGTGCAAGTCATACAAGATGTTGAAATTTTAACTAAACATTGTAAAGTTGGAGCAGTTATACAACGAAATTACTTACGTGCAAAATATCCAGGTCTTTTACTATCTAATCAAGATTTATCTAATGTAATCGGACGATTTAAAACATCTCGAGAAGTTCTTGACGTCATCAAGGTCTTCAATCATCTAATAAAACAAAAAGACGATTCGGGGTGGAAAGTATATTACGATTTTGAACCTGGCACCGCCACCCTAAATAGACTTTTTTGGATGACGCCGAATCAGGTGGAGGATTGGAAACGATTTAATGATGTCATTTTAAATGACAACCAACACAAAACAAATCGTGATGATATGATGTTATCTCTTTTCTTCGCCATGGATCTAAATGGATGTATACGAATCGTTGCTCAAGCGTTAACAGATGATGAAACTGAAGAAAATTATGAATGGATATTGAGATGCACATTAGCTGCTTCTGAGGATGAACCAAAAACGATTATCACTGATACAGAACGCGCCATGGATGTTGCTGTTAAAAGTGTATATCGTAATTGCATACATCGATATTCTATATGGCACTTACTTTATTCAAATTCATACCATCATGTAAAAAAAAAACTTGGTTCAAGGCATGAGAAATTCCTCGAGGATTTTTTCAAGTGTCAAAATTCTTTACGGGAAGAAATATTTCTACAAGGTTGGCAATGTTTAATGAAGGATTATCCAGAAATTGTTGATTATTTAACCAATACATTATATGAAAACAGAAATTATTGGGCAAATGCTTTTGTCGTTGAAACTTTTACGGCAAATCTGGATTCCATTTTTCATGTTGAAGTGATCAATAGTGTAATAAGTACGACATTAGCGAACTTACAAATTCCCATATTCGATTTGATTAATCATATAAATGATCAACTTGAAGACCATTGTAAGCAGATATATGAAAAACATGATCAGGAAATAATCAGACAAGCAATTTTTAAAACAAATGATATTCGAACAATGACTTTATATGAATCGGTTAATATGCAGATTGAAAGATACTTGTCCGCTGTTTGTGTTAACTTACAACTTCATGAAATGGAACTTTCTCTCAATTTTATTGCCAAAAAGTATGATATTGGTCTGATCAAAAACATTGAGAAAATTTTTGTAACAAAGCGTTATTTTGTGGTAAATGAATACTACCTACCACTTAGTAAAATATTTTCAATGATTAATACAAATGAAATTCTTGAGACGTGGGCAGTTTATGATCAACATGATCAACATGATAGAAATTTCATTTTATTGATGAATGATGGATATCATTGGTGCACTTGTTTAAATGGTATTCATTATGGATTGGTTTGTAAACATTATTTCCGAGTTATGACGTGCACTCCCAAGGCCAGGTTTCAAATTACAATGATTTCAAAACGATGGTATAAGGAAAATTGTGAAAATGATCCTAATTTTGAACCGCCCTTAACCTACCACCTTTAGCCTACTTCTTTTCCTTTATCCGATGAAAAATTTTTTTGGTGATTCATCATTTTTGCGTAAATTCGTTCATCGCCGCGATTTAGAGGAATATGGCGCAGCAAGAAGAATAGATGTTAATTCGTTTGCGTTTCAATGTATTGGACTCGGATCTTTCTTTTTAAAAAAAATAATTTAATAAATAATTGTACCTAATTATTGATTGAAGTTTAGTTACAATAAACAAGCCACAAATTACTTTGGTTGATAGAATTCTATTTCAGGGTTAATGATTTATGCAGAGAGGAATCGCTAACATTGGCTTTTATCTAATCCGCGTCATATAAATATTAATGATCGATTCGCTCTTTGTTTGTTATACTGTACCTACTGTTGTATTCAGTTCTTTCGTTTATGTATTTATAACCAATTTGTATTTGTAAGCAGAAGGATTTAATTAAAGAATATTGAAGTAATTATGACGCTAAATTTATTTAATTAATTAGTTATTAAATATTAATTAAACTACATAAATATAATCGGAATAAAAAATAATAACAAAGAAATTAAATAACGAAATTACGAAGTTACAAAAATTATGAATTTAAAATTGAGAAGGCTATAATATCGCAAGGGAGAAAGGGTAATGATTAAGTTGTATATATGCAATTTAAAGGAAGGCGAAGTGAGAAAATTATATTATTTGTACATAACACTCTTCTTTAAATACCTCAAGGTAGAACCCTAACTTCATGTTACTCTAACGTAAAGATTCCGAAATCGAATCTATTTTTGGACGTAAATGGCATAAAATTATTAGATGTTTAGTTATAAAGATGTAAAATTTTTTGACAAATATTCATATCCAAAATAAACAAATTATCGTAAATTGAATTATTAAAAAAATTGATTTCGCGCGATAAATTATTATCATTAAACTAGCGGTTGTTAAAACGACGTAAAATAGATGTTGTAAACTTAGTTTTAGCATATCTATAACAAATTAATAATACAATTTATTGATTTTTTTTTTTTTATAATTATTCTAATCCTAATTCTAACATCAACTCGGAATTGATGTAATATATTTAATTAAATTTTTAATTTTTTTTTAATTTATATTTTTTTAATTTAATTTAATTTATTTTTTTTTTTTAGATTTAATTTTGTACTTTTAATTGAATTTTTTAATTCTACCCTCCGCGATTTTTTAAATTTTTAATATTCGCAATTTTTTATCTTTTTTTTTGTTTAATGCTTTGATTTTTTTAATTGATTTTTTAATTTTATTAATTCCCGCGATTTTTGATTTTTCTTTACAGAAACTTTGTTTCCTTACTATGCAGTAACTGCATTGTACCTATTAGGCTGCGATTAAGCTACTACCTACGAAGTAAGGTAGTAACTATATCTTTACTATATAGTCAATTTGCAGATACTGCGTATCAAGAAATCCAAGTTTCTGTAAAGTTTTTTTTAAAGTTTAATTTAATTTTAAAACCTCGCAATTTTTTTAATTAATTATTTTAATTTTGAACTTTTAATTTGGATTTAATTTAATTACCCGCGAAATTTTAAAACAAAATTTTTTTTTTTTATATAACCGTGGGTACTAATATTAATTATTTTTTTAATTTAATATTTTTTTGTTCTCAAGCAACTAACTTAATGAATCAATCGATGAATCGAAAATCGATTTGTTATCCTAACGATATGTTCGTTAAGGCAAACCATAACACTACGAAAAACGCGAGTTATCACTTTGGTCAATATTATGTGATAATACAAATTTACCTTACCAAAATGGAAACCTTATTAGACAAATAAAGCCTTTGTTTATGTGTCCTCCTGAAATGTTGATCACAAATAAATTTTTGCTTAAACTCTAATTTCATATGTAAATATATTATATAACGTGAGAATTTGTCATGTGACGAACCCCAAAAAAATCGATTTATTATTTATTTGCATATAACAATGTGACTGTACGTATGCAAAAAATATTTCTAAAAAATCTATGTTACCGTTACCAATTCCTAGAATATTAATTTTACAACCATATATTCTTAATTCATTGAATTACCATATTTTGTTCTTATCAAATTGATTTAAACTTAACTATTCATAAATTTTATAAGCCTTAAATTTCAATAATTCAGATTAATTGCGTATTACTCGAGAAAAAAGTTTGGCCAATTTTACCCTATTTTAACGAAATAAATAAAAAATAAATAAATAAAAACTTATATTCTAATAATATTTTTAACGTTTGGTTAAAAATGAGCATGCCTTTGATAAATAAAATGATCGTCGTTTGCCAAACCACCGTCATTATCATTTTGATTAATGACTTGTGCCATCGGTATATTATTCTCAATATTTCCATGAAATGAATTCGTTTCTATATTGGAAGCGCAGTGTTGACAAAAATTTTGATGCGGGTAGTTATTAGTATTATGAACATCGACATCCTGGTAAGAAATTATGTCATTCATATTTCCGTCGGAATTTGATCTCATTTCATTTTCGGGAATGTGATTTTTTGAAAGATGACAAGGAAGAACTTGCTTCAAGTTATTTTCAAGGCGTAGCTTTTGATGTAAGGATAATGATAATCTGTTGCGTCTTGAATTATTCACATTATTGACATCAATGTCTATTCCGAACATTTCTTTATTTAGTATGCTTGCGACCAAAGATTGTGAATATAATACGCAAGAAACGGAATAGTTTTCTCCATCAAACTGATAAAAAAATTGGTGATCATAATCTTCCGAAGTGAAAGAGTCTGGAACCACCATTTGACAAATCACAAGAAAAAAATGATCATTTGGTATATGATAAAAAAATCTAACGTTGGGATCATAAAAAGGCGTAGTATTCATATTTTAATTGTAGTAAAAATATTTTTAAGGAGGATTTAAATATCGTTATTGTTCTTATAAGATACTGTAACTTAAATATATATATATTTTATTAACTAATTTTTTTTTTTTTTTTGAAGCCTAAATTCCCTGAAAGGACCGAGAGGATGATTTATTTATAACGTAAATTTTTTTTTATGGTATCATATTGTTTATTTGAACAGATTAATAAATGTACCTACCAATTCAAATAAACGTTCCCCCCTACTTAACATTTAAATATATTTATTACATTGCATGCCAAAATCTTTGCATCTTCGATCTTTGAGTCAAAGAAATACATAGACAAAACTTGAAAGCCTTTGCACCCTAATAAAAGAGATAAGTAACACTGCAGATTTCTAAACTCAATCCGATTTAACAAACTTGTATACTTCACGTGAATTTACATAAACATATATTATTCAAATCAAATCAACTAAAGGGAGTGAACAAAAAAAAAATTTAATTACTTTAAAAAGAGTGAATAAAGTCCACCATTATTTTATTAGTCGAATCTCGAAGAAAATAATAATTATAATAATACTTAAGACGTGAGGTATAAAGTTCTAAACAGTCAGCGGTAGTGCAATCTGTCTAAAAGGTCTTTAGGTGTTATTAAATACATACGAAACTCGTGAAACTATGCTAGGTACACTATATTCGGACTTTTTTGTTAGTAGATATAAATGAGAAACAACGACATTCAAATAATGAATGATCAAATCAAACACTCCAACTTCCTTGTGAACCTGAATGTTTTGAATAACAATTTGTCATTTGTTTGGACTCGAAGTTTGGGTGAGCGATTGCTTTGTTAAAAGATTTTTTCCTGACTTTGTTCTATTTTTGACACCATTATCAGCGGAGGACGCCGAAATAAACCAAAATTAATTGTAACAATTAAAACACAGTAATGTGTCGATCATTAATTCTTCAATGCATAAAAAAGTCGGGAGTAAAAATTTTTTATCATTTCTCTCTTATGCGTGTGTAAAAAAAAAAAAAAACAAAATCGAAAAAACAAAAATTTAAATTTTTTTTTTTTATTTAATATAACTTTCAGGATTAGTAATTTTAGTGATTTCCTCATTTTAATAGATATCAAGAAGGTTTAGATTTTTTTCAATGAGTAATTATGAAGACATGGAAACTATAGAGGAAGGCTCTACCTTTAGAAATTGGGATGAAGCAAAAACGGCTATATATCTTTATGCTAATAAAAAAGGATTCAATTTATGTCAATCTAGAAATAAAAAGCATGAAGGAGGAGAGCTGCGTAAAAGAACTTTTATTTGTGAATTTTCAGGAAAACCTCAAAAAAAGAAAACAAATAGACCATCAAAATCTAAAAAAATTTCATGTCCTTGGCATATCAATTTATCTTTACCGGAACAAAATAATCATGAAAATTTAGTTAAAATCACAAAGTTTGTTGATCGTCATAATCACCTGACAAAGCAAATGATGCAAGATGTTGAAATATTAACACACAGTGAAGGTGGAGCAGCTACACAACGAAAATATTTACATGCCAAGTATCCAGGTCATCCACTATCTAATCAAGTTTTATCTAATGCCATTATGCAATATAAACCATCTAAAGAAGATCATAATACCATCATGATGCTTAAGTATCTAATCAAACAAAAAGAAAATTCGGAATGGAAGGTATATTATGATTTTGAACCTGGTACTACAACTCTTAATAGACTTTTTTGGATGACGCCAAACCAGGTGGAGGATTGGAAACGATTTAACGATGTCATTTTAAATGACAACACGTACAAAAAGAATCGTTATGATATGATGTTATCTATTTTTTTCACTATTGATCAAAATAGATGTATACGAATCGTTGCTCAAGCATTGATAGATAACGATATTGCAGAAAATTTCGAATGGATATTGAAATGCACATTAGATGCTACTAAAGTTGAGCCAAAAACGATTATCACAGATATGGAACGTGGCATGGATACTGCCGTAGAATGTGTGTATCTTAAAGCTTGGCATCGACATTCAACGTGGCACCTATCTTTAAATTTAGAAAATAACGTAAAAATAAAACTTGGACCCAAGTATCAGGAATTCCTCTATGATTTTTTTGCTTGTCGAAATTCTTTACAGGAAGAAAGCTTTCAAAAAAAATGGGATTATTTAATTGGAAATTATTTAGAAATTGCTGATTATCTAACCAATACATTATATGAAAGCAAAAAGTATTGGGCAAAAGCTTTGATCGATGAAACTTTTACAGCAGATATTGATTCGAATTATGAACTTATCCATGATCCTGTAAAACAAGCATTGATCAATTCAAATGTTGTAATTGTCGAACTGATTGATTATATTAATGATCGAATTGAAAAACAGTTTTATGAAAAATATGATCGAGAACTAATTGAATGGTCGAGTTATAGAACTAGAGATGATATAAATAATGCAATTGAACATGCTTTATCACCTTATAATATAAATAATTATTTATCACCAGCTTGTGCAAAGTTACAACTTTGTGAAATAGAACTTTCTCGTGAAATTGTTGCCAAAAAATATGATATCGGAGTAATCGAAAAGAAAAGCATGGAGGAAATTGAAGAAATAGGGCTTAATTTTCCTTTAGAAAACGATTGTTATGCTAAACAAATTTCACTCAAGAAATTATTTTCATGGATTGACACGAAAAACATTAACGAAACGTGGTCCGTTGATTGTAAAGTTAGTAGTTATTATGACCATACAAATTATATTTTATTGATGAATGATGGAAGTCATTTATGTACTTGTTTAAGAAATATTTATTATGGCATAATTTGTAGACATTATTTTCAGGTTATGAATCACACACATAAAGCCAAATTTCATATTACAATGATTTCGAAACGATGGTACCGATTTTAAATCATTTATCCTCATTCCATTATTACCATAAATCAACGAATTAATATTATAATACATATTCTTTGATGTATGTAATTGACTTAAAATTAACCTCACTTTCATATTCTTTATGATAAGATATTAATTTATTCCATCACTATTTAAAATCCTTAATCATTTACAATTTTTAGATAATTTTAATTCTAAAATTTTAAAGTTTTGAAAATAATATAATTTTGTTAATTTTAATATTGAAACATTTTATTATCTATTAAATTTATTATAATAAGATATTTTAAATAATAATTAATTCATATTCTTAACATTAATAATTAAAATGTTATTAGTAAATTATATTCTAAAATATCAAATAATCTACTAAAATTAATACACTATCTTATAGTTTTTTATACATATACTTTATTTTATAATAGTTATATTTTATTATTTTTATATTTGTAGATTAATGAAACATTGTAGTTTAGCTTATTTATATCAAAATTATTTAAATAAATTAATTTATATTATATGTTCAAAATTTATATAATATAATATAAATTATATTAAATAAGTTTATTTATAAAGATTATCAATTATATTATTGTTTAAATAAATAAAAATTTTAGATTATTTAATAAATTATATATTCAAATTCAATTGAATTATTTAATTATATAATTAATTAATTAAGTAATATCAAAAATTAACCATAATTAAGTATAAATTTTTTTTTATAAATAATATTTTTAATAAAATATTAAATATAAAAAATTTTATATATAATATATTTAAAATTTTGACTTTTTTTAAACAATTTTTTTTTATTATATTATTATTTTTTATTGAATTACTTTTAGAGTTTTTGAACTATATATTTTTTGAAATTTAATTTTATTTAATTTTATATTTTATATTTTTAAAATTAAAAAATTGATATATATTTTATTTTATCTTTTTATGATTACTAGATATTAAAATATTATAATTTTTTTATAATATTTTATAATCAATTTATACCTACGCAAAAAAATAATAATTTTTCAAATGAAAGTTTAATGAAAAAAGAAGAAGATAAGGATACTATTATAAAATTAAATAAAAAAAATACTAATTTAGAGATAATGATATAATTAAACTTAATAAAAAATAAATAAATTCAATATAATATGTAAATTTTTTATATAAATAAATTAACCTTCACTATATACAATTTACTCATCTCATAAAAATAAAATAATAAATTATATTTAAATATTAGAAAGTTTTAATAGGTTTTGTTATCCATTAAAATTTGCTTTTAATAAAAAATTTAGCAAAACATTTCAATAGGTTTCAATTTTAATATTTATTGAAACCTTCAGATTTTATTATTAATTTTAAAATAGATTATTTTAAAAAACTTTTTAATAAACTTATAATAAAATTAATAAATATAATATATAAAAAATATCAGTTAAATTTTTACTAATTTTAATTTTTAAGTTAATTTTATATATATGATTGTGATTAATTAAATAGACCAATAAAATTTTTTAACTAAAATTAGATTTTCTCTTTCTATTAACTATCACTTATATATTAAACTAAATTAAATTAATTTTTATTAAGAAATTAATATATTTTAAATTTACAACAAATTTGCTTGTTAGATAATCTAAAAATAATTTTTAATTTTATTATTAAAAATTTAAAATAAAGTAATATAAATTGTAATATTATAAAATTACAAAAAATAAAAGTATCATTTTTAATTATTAAATTTAGATTTTATTTTTTTGAAAAAAAAAATTTTACAAGTTTTTATTTTAATATAATTTAATTAAATTTATTTTATTTCTATAGATTTTAATTTAATTTTTTTAATAAATAATTTTATTTAATTTATTAATTCTATAATATATTATTTTTTTTAAATTTAAATTATAATTTCTTTTTAAAATTTTTTTAATTCAGTTTTTTATTTTTAATTTTATTAAATAAAATATTATAAATTAATTATAATATAAATTATATGATATTACAATATCTAGTAAAAATATCATTTTTATAAATTATATAATTACATTTATTATAATTATTAAATTTTTAAATTTGTAATATATATAAATATTTTAAATTATAATAGCTTTTTAACTTATAATTATATATTCTATTTTTAAAAAATAAAGTAATTTTAATAGTATTTAAAAAATATACTAATTATTATTATATCAAGATTTAATTTTACTATTAAATATATATATATTTATTTAAATTTTTAAATTTTTAAAATTTATATATAAATAATTAAAATTGCTTATCTAATCTATTTTAAATTTAATTAATTATTTAATCTTTTTATTTTACAGTTTTTTTAATAAAGTTTTGATATTTTAATAACTTTAAATTTTATCTTTTATTATTTGCTAATCTTTTAAGTTCTTTTTAGCAATTTTATAAATAATATAATTTATTTTTTATTTTTAATATTATTTTTATACTTTAACATGAATTGACGAATAGCTAATTAAATTGTATTTTAACAGAAAAATCAGATTTTGACAAATGTAATTATTTTATTAATAATTTATAATATTAATGTAATTAATTTTGGCATTATTAAAATTAATTAGTATCAAATATAATTATTTTATAAATTTTTTTATTATAATCAATAAAATTATTTTATTTAATATTTATTTTATAATAATTATTTAAGCTTTTATTATTATTATTAATAATTATATAAATTAAATAATAATTTTAATTTTAAATTTAATTACTTTAAAAATTTTTTATTAAATAATAATTACAAAAAAAAATATAATTTTTTTAAAATATAAATATTATCTTTTATAATAATAATTAAATTATTATAATATTATATTTTATATAATATTCTTTTATTTATTATGAAATACAGAGTAATATATATATATATAAAATTACATCTTTTCAAATTGCCTTAGTTTTATAATTAATAAAGTATTTAATATGATATTTTAATTAAAAGATAATAGATTTTATTAAAAATAAAATAATATAATGTTTATGTATTATTTTTTTAATAATTTTATTATTTAAATTTTTAAAATTAAATTAAATGATTATTTGAATTTTTTGTTTTATTTTTACTTAAAAACTATTTATATTAATATCACTTTATATTCTCTTTGATAATTATTTAAATTCATTTTTAATAAACTTTAGAGCATACTAAAAGATCATATATGTTTATGTTGCATAATATATAAATGTTCTGATATCCTACTTACTTAAATATCAAGTGATCTATCATGTTATGCATTAATCTCTATATGCTCCTGAAAAAAAAGCAATTATCTGTGCATCTTTTGTGCCACTTTATTTAGTTCTTGGGTGCTTTCTACTAATTTCATAAATTGATGATAGTTGTGATTATATCCAAACAATATTTCTTCTTATTTTTTTTCAATGCCTTTTAACGAATTTGTTGTTAGTATAACTTAATTAATGAAAATTTTAGAACTTTTAAGGCATAATTTAGGTTAGATTGTGTCGTACGTTCTGCTTTATTGATTAAACTGAAATCATCAACCGTTTTCATTATTACCAATTTTTTTCATTAACATTTAGTGAGATAAATGATCAACTAGAGTGATAAAGTGGAATACTGAGCAGGAGGTGGCGTGTTTATTGGGCTAAAGTATCTCTTTCCGTGATGTTATTAATCAGAAGTTTGTATAGATTTGAGAATGGAATTGGAAATCTCTGATGCTATCCGCTTTATCGGTATATTTAGACAAAACTGCATGAATGCCAAGTATTGTTTAAGATCAAAGTTTGTATGCAAGCGGTTGTGAGGATTGATATAAGGATCGTTCCTAGGTGTTCATGATGATTTTCTTTGATTTCAGTGGTAATTATTGAGTCTATATATGTTCATCAAAATCTTGTACAATCACGTCGAAAAGTGACACCCGATTCAAATCTTATAATAAGAATAGAAAATTTCAAGCTATATTCATATTAATACTTACTTTAATAGTTAGTTTTATATTTTAAAGCTAGTAATATTTTTTTTTTTATACATTCCAAAAAAAATACATAAATTTAAAAATGGATAATTTTGAGCTGCATATATAATTTATATTTCATTTAATATTGGTTTCGAAATTTTTCATAATTTAAAGTTAATTAGTCATATTTTTAAAAAATAATATTTACTTTAAAAAAACTTCATACTTTAATTGTAAGATCCAGAAAAAAGTTTTATATACTGTAAATTACTATGTAATTTAAATCGAACGTCACTTACCGAACATGTTAAGAAAATTCTCGAATTGAAAATCATACACAGTACATTATTATTGGGCACACCCGAGGCCAAATTTAAATTACAATGATTTTGAAACGATGGTATAAGGAAAATTGTGAAAGAATAGAACTGTACTATAATGAGATCTTTCTATTTTTATGAGAAAGATGCAATTGAGAGAAGCAATGTGATTCATTCAAAATAGAGAACAACATAAAACAACGAGGTAATGTATGTATTACGTATTTTCCTTGCTATCATTAAATAAATCATTTTTGCATAAAGTTCGTTCTTATTATCATTTGCCCGATTTTAAGGAATATGGCGCAGCAAATAGAATAAACGTTAAATTCGCTGCGTTCAATATATTGGATTTTTTTATTTTATTTGATAAAAATAATATAATTGAACCTATTCATTGATTGCAAATTTATTTAGAGAGGAGTCACATTGGTTTATTATCATAAATCGCGTCATATAAATATTAAAGCATCTTACTTATTGCACCGCTAACTCGGACCAAATTTCATTCGGGAGGATTCTCATCTCCATAAAGGCATAAAAAGCTAAATAATACATTTCACTAGAATCATCTGAACGAATCGGAGATTATAGTGACTTTATAGTTTTACAAGTAAATTTTGGAACGGTTGTTTGATAATGATTCAATTCTTCAGTTTTACGCAACGCATCAAATGGTTTACGTAGTTTATGTAATATTATTGACACAATAAATGCCAGAAACACATTATAATTCGTATTTATTATCCCAATAATAATGTTTTTTTTAAAAAAAAATGAGATGCTCAAATGCTAAAGGCAGATAAAAATGTCAACCGAATTGATAAAATATTTTAATACCGTAATCAACTGATGATACCTTATGAAAAAAGTAAAGAAATGACCAATGAAACAAATTTTTATAAATTTTTTTATCTGTAATAGTGTGTCATTTTGCGAAACCTTAATTTGTTTCGAGCGGAACATCCGATAACTCCGTACATTTAATAAATTGTATATTTGCCAAATAAAGATAGATAATATAATAAATTCTAAGAACTTTTTTTGTGCGATTCTTCCTTTATTTACACGATCAACAATTAAATTATATGCGAGAATTTATTTGTCTCACTTAATTGATGTAACAAAGTCCTTTTGTTTATGTCATTCTTCCATCATATGATGTCCATGGTGACTACTTTATAAATTAAATCCATAACGTGACGTGCCAATGTTGCTTCCGCTGCAAATCAAAATTTTGTTTACTTTTTATTAATTATTAACAATAATTTTTACAAATTTCCATAAGCACATGATTATCGTAATAAAAAAAAAAAAATCGATTGCCAATTCCTAATTGTTACATAATTTTTCTATCTTAATTTTGCCTTAAATTTCAATAATTCAGATTAATAATTTGGCCAATTTAAACGAAATAAAAAAATAAATAAATTAATGCTAAAGTGTCTAATAATAAAAGTTTATCGAATTATAATAAAGGATCGTTGCTCGACAAGTCACAGTCATTATAATTTTGATTAATATCTGAAATGACTTGTTCCATCGGTAAATGAAATGAATTCGTATGTATATTATATTCTGTTCTCGTTTCTATATTGGAAACGTAGGGTTGACAAAAATTTTGATGCTGTAAGTTGTTATTAAAATCAACTAGCTGTTGTGAATGATTGTGATGATTGACATTTTGAACAGAATTATGAACGTTATCACCCTGATAAGAATTTATGTCACTATATGTTAAGTCTTCCTCAAAAAAATCGTCATCTTGGGAAGAGTCCTCATTTTCATCACAATTATCATTCATTTTTCCGTCGGAATTTGATCTCATTTCATTTTGAGGAATGTGATTTTTTGAAAGATAAGAAGGAAGAATGATCTTCAAGTTATTTTCAAGACGGAACTTTTGTTGCAAGGATAATGATAACTTGTTGCATCTTGAATTATTCACATTATTTATATCAATGTCTATTCCGAACATTTCTTTATTTAGTACGTTTTCGATCAAAGATTGTGAATATAATACACAAGAAACGGAATAATTTTCTCCATCAAATTGATAAAAAAATTGGTGATCATAATCTTCCGAGATGAAAGAGTCTGGAACAACTATTTGACAAATCACAAGAAAAAAATGATCATTTGGTATATGATAAAAAAATCTAACATTGGGATCATAGAATGGTGTAGTATTCATATTGTGTTATATAATTGTATTAAAAAGGATTTGATTTTGTTGTTTTTCTTATAAGATAACTTAATTGATTTTTTTTTTTTCAACTCGATTTGTTTATCAAGCCTAAAATTTCTGAAAGGACCCAAGAGAACTATTTATGCATATTTTTTTTTTGATAGCAAATTGTTTATTTGAACAGATTTTATAAAATTTACCTATTCAAGTTACCCTTATAACATAAATTTACTATCTTGCATGAAATCAAAACAATCGGAACTTGTACTCTACTCAGATTAATCAACTTAATCTTGATTATTATTTTCTATTTCTGTATTACCGAACAAACGCGTATTAAATCACGTAATAACAGATTGAGCGCAATTGGTAAATACTAGAAGAAACAAAATTTTTTAAATACAAGTTTTTTTTTTGTTTTTTTTAGAAAATAGATAACGAGGTCGAGAAGAAATCTTTTACAAGGCAAAACTGCTCTCTCCAAATCCCAAGTTCAAAAAAAAAAAATTGTCAGGACATTCAGGTTCATAGTAGAAATTGTTTGATTTGATTATTATTGAATGACACTTGAGCATATATATGAGCATACAACATAGTTTCGTATTTCATGATACATAACGACCTTTAAACTACTGCTGACAGATAAAATATTAATGGACTCCACGTCGTTTAAAAAAAAATATTTTTTTTCCTTTCGGATAAGGCTCCTTTCCTTAGCAAAATGTAGGTTTTAAACGCATGTATAAATCAATTTTGTCAGCGGAGAAAACCGACGAAAGGGGATATTTTATTTCAATACTAAAAAGGAAATTGTTAATGTGTCGATCATTCATCATGTAATGTTATAGGTTAATGATCAACAGTCAAAGATATATTACTTTGCCTACCATACGAATCAATCGGAACAATTTTATTTTTACATTTAATACTTTATTATTATTATTATTATTATTATTCTTTTATTAAAATAACGATCGAAATATTTCTTATTCTCAATAGGATACGTAGTGGACGTATGAAAATACTGCGCCGATATTTAATTTTCTTTACAAGGTATTAACACCTCTCCACCTCGCATCAAATCCTAATACAATAAACAAGAAAATAATGCTAAGGAAACTAAAAAGGGCCATAATAGAAACGGTCCAACCAATACCTAAAAGAACAAGAACCTCTAGAGGTCTAATTAATAAAATTACAATAACAACCAACAAATATGAAAAGAATTCACTTAAAGCTAATGCAGAAGCGCTTTTTCCTGGACAAGCATCAATTAGATACGTTGAAACACCATTACATTGACTTTGTAATCCAATTCCGGCTATAAGATTTAAAAAATTAATATTTCTTAAATTATATTAAAAAAAAAAAAAAAACTTCAAACCGAGATTTCGTTTAAACTTACCTATGAATGTACTTATTAATGGTATTGCAACGTGGACTCTGTTCCGCAATAACCATCCAAGTGATGCTATAAAAAAAGGCACCAACAAACTTGAATAATATGCTACTTTAATTCTCATTACAGGAAATTTAAAGACAGGTTTATCTTCTTTTATCACTTGTGTATCATCACCTCTCGTGCGACTCATTTTTTCCCTCCTTTCCATTTCTCTTGTTCTTTCCTTTTCTTTTATCAATTCTTTATCACTTTCATGTTTAATGAGAACATCAGAATATTTTCCAGTTATAAAATTACCAATCAAATAACCGACGGTAGGACTCATATAAGTCAATACAATGGTTAAATTCGACAAATCATAAAAAGAAGAAAACTCCTCGATAATTAATATACTTTGTATATATATAATCGAAAAGGTTACTGATTTACTAAGTATTGCTAATGTGATATTTAATTGCAGCAATAATTTTAAAGGTGATAAAGGATTATAACGCTTCCTTTGTATAAATGATGTTGATTCTTCCGATGGTGATATTGGATTTTCTACTCTTACAATTTGAACTTTATGTGGCTTTATTGATCGAAGTGATCCTTCTGACGGTCGAAATGTCTCAGGTAAAAAGGATGCTAATAGTAAGAGGATTACTCCTCCGGATATTGCTAACACATAAAATATCCAACGCCATCCTAATAATTGTGTTATCAATTCACCAATGAATGGACCAGTTGCAAATGCAACAAAATATCCGATAAGATAAACGGCATATGCTCTTCCTCGTTCTAATCAAACCGGAAAGTTATTGAAAGAGATAATTTTTTTTCTTTAAACAAAGGAGAGAAAAGAACAAGATTTTAAAAGTATACCACTTGGAATGAATAAATCACTAATGGTTCCTCCACCTAGACTAAAAGAAGCTGAAATTCCGAGAGATTGCAATGCTCTGAATATTATCAATTCCTGTATATTTTTTGAATATCCACATATTATATTACTCATTGTGAATAATAGTAATGAAGATAAATACACTTTTTTTCTGGTTCTAAGTTGATCCGAATATGATGACCAGAATATTGGCTAATAAGAAAAGAAACAAAAATTAGAAGGGAAATGAAAAAGAAAAGGATTTTCTTTAAAAGAAACTTACTGTGGATCCTTGAAAAATGAAAAAGATTACGACTAAATTTACATTAGAAAATATTTTAACCTTAATTTTTTTGGTCACTTAACAGCACTTTTAAAAATGCAATTGTACTTACATAATAAATTTACAAATTCTGCGGTAGTATTAAAATCTCTTTTTATCTCCAACATTGCGGGGTATAAAAATCTATGTAAAAAATGATATTATTATTTTTTTTAAATAAATAAATCTCGATGAAGTTTCTCTTCCATACTTACACATGTGATAATGGAGTAAGAAATGTCGGTAAGGATATAAGGAAAAGGATACGAAATTTCTTTAAATATGGCCACCTTTGTGGATCAAAATGTCCCCCTGATTTTATTACATGTTCTTCTTCCTCATCTTCGCTACTTGACTTTTGTTGTAATGTTTCATCAATATCTGTCATATTTTAACAAAAAAAAATTATCTTCAATTTTAAAATGATTGTCAAAGAAATATTTCTAAGCCCAGTAAATATGGAAAAGAAATTCTCACACCTTTTTATAATAATTGATCGATATTCCAAAATAAGCAATAAGTTTTTTTTTGGGGAAAAGTGGCTTCATTTTCTAAATTGGGATTGCTTAAAAGGCGCAATCATTGATATTTTTTATTAAAAAACCTAATTTAATATTAATGCATGCAACCAATCTTCTACAATAATAACAGCGTAAAGTAAATACGTTCGTTTTTTTTCTCCCACATTTTAAATACACAAAATCATATGTAGTTAAATCGACTAAACTTCTTGGTAAATCTCTATTGGATTCTTTCAGTCACGTGTATATTTAAATATTTCTCACGAAAAATTAAATGTATTCTTTTTCAACTATTATTTGCTGCCATATTTATCAAATCCTAAATCAAAGAATCTCGCGAATTGTTAATTCATTCATTATTATCATTTGCGTGGAAATAATTATAAAGTTCGTACCTGCGACAACTATTATTATCGTATGCATTTGCCTTATTGTCGTTGATTATTACGTAAGTGTAAAATTTGTCTTGCTATGAAACTTTGCCCATTTAATTACCGTTTGGGTTCGTTTTTGGTGGCGTCCACAAAATAATATGATAAGCTATTTATAATATAAAACTTTGTTTTGCGCCAAAAAAAAATGAAAAATCAAATTTATGCACATACTGTTACACATAAAAAAGAAAGACGGGGCGTTAAAATTGTCATCATTGAAACATAAATAAAAAGATAATTTACTATTTTTTTGTTTGTTAAAAGATTCGAAAAATTAATAGTAATAGAACTTTTTTAAACTATCATATTCAAGCTCTTTAGCAGAATAAATGTGCTCGGATCAAATTTTCCGATTACCGTTTAGAATTAATGTCGGATCCATATGTTTCAATTTTAAAAATGATGTAATCCCTCGTTGTCCCCCTTCATATATTTATCCATTCATAGCCAATTTCTTTTGTTTACAAAGTAAGGAATTTTTTAATACCATAAGAATGCAAATCCAGTAATATTTATATATTTTAGTTGAAATAACTATTTTAGACAATTTATTTAATCTAAATTTCGTCTAATAGTAATCTCGTTCAAAATAACGAGACAAATACCATTTCTAGAATCGTTAAGTAACTACAATTTGATTACTTGTTAAACATTTACTGGATATTAATTACTATGAATAATAATTCCGTTAATAACTAATTTCGGACATGAAATTTTTATTTAACCATAAATAATATATAAATAAATATAATTACTTTGTGTTTATTGAAATTGTTATAATCCTAAATATTTATGAGCTAATAAGACCCTTTTGTCATTCACTTGTCTTTCATAGAAGAAAATAAAAGAAATTAAAGCCATTAATGGTGTAAAAATAAAAAATTTTTTAAAAAAAATAATTACAACTTATTTAAGTATTTTATTTGAGGTTGAACACCACCAATCAAATTATTTTGCTTTGATGTCAAATAATCAAATAAAAATTTCTTCAAGTGAGTTTCCAAGTTTAATTTTTGCTCGTGAGAAAAGCTTAAATATTCTTGTGGCTGTTGTTTGCTAAATTCTATACCGTGCATGGTCCTGTTCAAAAACTGAACTATCAGCGAATGTGGGACCATTTCCGCAATTATTTTATAGATTTTCTCATCACCCGGTTGAAAATTAAACACATGAGAATTGTTCAATGGAGGAGCATTGCATAAGTTTGATTCAAATAATTTACAAGTAATATGATAAATTTGAGAATCATTAGGTACGCTATAAAGAATTTATATTCACGCGCATCAAACTTCGTAGACGCAGTAATTCTGTTGTTAGTTACGTCTCGTGTTTGAACGTTGTTTGAGTTTGAATTTTTAGGACGGTTCATTTTTTTTTTTTTTTGGTAAAAAAAAAATACCCCCACCCATCCTTTTTTATAGAAATTTTTTATTTATTATTATAATTTAATTAAGGTATTGTCCCCCCTCATATTATAAAAAAAACAATCTAATTTGGACCAGTCTGAGTCCTTTATTGTACTTTATTAATATATTAATTCGAATGATGATTAACTTTATTTGTGGTAATTTCGTAGATACTTTTTTTTTTTTTGTTATTACTAAGAAAACTCTTTTACTGGATATAATTAATTCGAAAGGTTTGTATTATAATAGATATTTAAATTAAAAATCCCTTTATTATTGATTATATCAATTAACTAATATATTATGATTTATATAAAAGAATTATCAAGGATTTTTTTATATTAATTTAGCATCTTTTCTTTGGTTCTATTTAATCAATTCATATATATTTTTTTAATACTTATAGACTGTAATTTTCATATTACTTTTTTTTTTATCAATTAAATACTTTTATTATCTAACTAAATTATAATATCTATGTATTGAATTTAAAATTAATATTTATAAATTATTTATATTTTAATAAAATTGATTTTAATATTTTAATAATATAAGTATAATTCAGTTCCTAATACTAAATTATCTTTATAAAATTTTAATAATTAGTTATTATTATTCAAATCAATTAAAATTACTAATTAATATATTATTTTTTTAATTGTTTTACCTATAAAATTGCAGGTAATTTATTTAATAATTAAAATCATTTTTTATTATTTTAAATATTTAAAATATTTATTAATAAATTAATACTTTTATAATAAATTTATAATATTTTCTAAATAAAAATTAAAAAAAAATTGTAATTAACTAATGATTTTTAAAGATAAATATATAATATAAAAAAATTAAAATTTTAAATTTTATATAAAGTATCTTAATATTTATTAATTTCAAAATATAAAAATATTATAATAAATCTAATAAATTAAATTTAAGTTTTTAATTATTAATTAAAAATTATTTTTAAAAATTAAAAATAAAAATATTTATATATGGGCATTTTGTAGCAGAAAGGAAGAAAACTACCAAAAAAAATTTTTTTTGAATTAATATTAAATCTGGATTTATTTTACTAAAAAAAATAATATTTAGCTTAGAAAGTAAAAAAAAATTTTTTTAGTAGTTTTTTCCCTTTCTACTATAAAGCATCTATATATTGATAATTATTAATTTATAAATTTAAATATATTATTATTAAATACAGTGGCTACCAAAAGAAACGCAAGTGTGATTAGTCACCTTTGAACGGCCATAACTCATCAACCACAAATGCTAGAAACATGATCTTGTACTTGTTTTAAAGCCCAAATC